CCTGAAAGAAGTTACTTTCTATGCCAGGAAATTAATTTAGACTCCTGAGGTGAACACAAGGACACCTCTTCCTAGAGTAGCATAAAAGAAAACACACACACACACACACACACACACACACACTTCTAATCTCTGTCATATCATATTCAGGAAGCTGGATTTTGTCCTACAGGCATTTCGTTTGTCATTTAAAGTTTTACGTGGAAGAGTCACAAGATTGGTTTGGCACTGATGAGGGGGAAGAAACTGGAACAGAGAGGCCTCAGGAGGGTCCTACTGCAGTAGGCCAAAGATGACAGAGAGTGAAAGTCAGGCAACTGTGTAGGCATGGAGAGGAGTGGACAGACTTGAGAAGCATTTATTTACGAGGTAGAACTGTCAGGATCAGTGACTGGCTGGATGTCGGGTTAGGTAAGAATCCAGAATGACCGGATGCCTGATTTGTAACCCAGGTATTGGGGTCGATGGTTTACAACTACAGGACACAGGGAATGCAGGAGGAGCCTAGACTTGGGTGATGATGTAGATAATACACTTAGTTTGGGACCTGTTGGATTTGAAGAGCCGGAGACATTGAAGTGGAGGTTTCCGATTGACATGGAGATTATTGGGGTTTGGAGCTAAGACAGCAAGCCTGGGCAAATGGTTCTGAGAGCCATCAGGATGCATGTGGCAGTAAAAACCACGGGAGGAGAGCTGAGCGTGGGACTCTGAGAGAAGCCAATCTTTACCGGGGAGGAGGGATTGGCGCCAGCCAGGGGTCCTGAGAATGAGCCATTTAAGAAGCAGAAGGTTTTAACAGGAGAGAGAAGCCGTTCAAGAAGGTCAGCTGTGTCAAAGGCAACTGAGAGGCCTCAGAGGTGGCTAGTGGATTTGGCAGTTGTCAAGTTCATCATGAACTTGAGTGGAGAGAAATGAAGTCAGATTTTAGCTGCAGAGACAGAGGCAGAGGGGAGGCACAGGGCCAGATGTCTCTCCTTTATGCGTCCCTGGAGATTCGCACTCTACACTTCTCCACTCTGCTCTCTGGCCGGGGCAACAGTTTCTCATGACTGTTGAGTTTGGCCAACAGCCAAACTCCTGAGAGTAAGGGGGATGTATACCCCCCAGTGCCTCCCTGCTGGGTCTGGGGTCTGTGTCACCCAGAGGTCACAGCTCCCTCTCCTTGCTTCAAGTGACCCCTCCTTCCCTCCCTCCTCCTCCAGGCTTCAGGGTGGGAATAGCTCTGCTTTGAGAGCACCGGGGCTCTCTCCCCACCGCCTTGTGTTTCTCTAGACCTGCTCACACTCTTGCACGTGGTCTTTGGTGAAATCCCCCATGGATTATCCTAATTTGAACCCAACTCCTGCTGATACTGGCTGGTGCAGAGAGGAACCTTGGCTGAGAGGTTCAGAGACAGAGAGGTACACAAAAGCGAGGGAAGTTTTGTCATGGGGTTTTATTTGCTATGCGTTGGAGAGGCTTAGGTATATTGACAGGTTCATGGAGTTCTAACAGCCAGGTCCTATTTCAAAGGCACCATCAGAGAGGAAGAAAGAGGCAGCTCCTTGTCAGCCTCTGAAGTCAGTGACATTACAAGTGGCCTCACTCCTATTGCTTCAGATATCCTAGAACTTGTGTTTCCAGTTTGCTCAAAGACAGTCCCTTTGCCAGGTTTGCCCATGGCTCTTTGGCATGTATTGGTCTGGACCCACAGTCGATGGAAAAGTAGGCACAGAGATACAGAGAAGAAAGAACAAAGTTCAGGACCTCAAAAAAACCAGGTGTATCTCAGTGCACCAAGGCGGTCAGAAGATAAACTTTAAAACTTTGCAGGGCTCAGCATCATCTGGCCCCGCTCACCTTGCCAAACTTGACTCTTTCGTCTCTTGTCAGTGATTTGATTGTATCTCTCTACCTCCTGAACCTTTTTAAAATTTTCTCCTATGTCACAAGCCCTGTTCTGCCCTTGAGCCTGAGTTCTGACCTGCAATTTGGCAGTTTCTTCAACTCTTACCCCGACGAATTCCTTCTCATCCTCATCTCTCTCCTAAACACCTTCTCCTCAGCGGTTCTTAACCAACCTATCGCCAATACCCGTCTACCCTAGGTCACAGATATTTTGTGATCTGTAATCTTTCCTACTTTTTATTCCCATTGTCTCAGGTCAAGCCTTCATTATCACTTGCCTGAACTAGTAAGAAACATCCCAACGGATCTATTTCCCGGTCTCTTCTCTTTTCTCTACAATCTTTTAATTGCCACCGCAGTCTTATTTCTGAATCACAATTCTGACACTGTCTCTCTCCCTTGCTTAAAATCTTTTTTTGTGCTTTCCCAGGGTTTCCGAGAGACATGGCTCAACAAGTCCTTCTCAAAGTGGCTGTAGGTAAATCCATCCTAATTAAATAATCTAAATATGGGAAAATTTAAATACACAGTGTAGTCATTTTGTGTTGGTATAATGAAAATATCTGAGATGGGCAAACTTTAAAAGAAAGGTTTATTTAGCTCACAGTTTTGGAGGCCTGTAGTCCAAATAAGCATGGGGTAGGCTCTGGGTGAGGGTCCCTTTTGACAACATCACCTCATGGCAGGTAGCAACAGTGGAGGCAAGTATGGAAGAGATCAAATCTCTAAACAGGAAGCCAAAAACCAACTGAAGTCCCAAGATCACTTCTGGAGACACACCCCACCCCTAATTGCCCTAAGGACTTCTGTTGAGAGCCACAGCCGAAGGGGCTCCAGCAAACTTCCAGCTGCCAGCAAACTTTCAGACTGCCAGCTGATGATTGGCTCACAGTGGCCCCAGCAACATCTAGCTGATTGGCTCCTCTGCGGTGATGCTCATTGGGCTATTTCCCTGCCCTTTCAGACCACGCGGCTTCTCATTGGGGGACTTTTTTGGCTCCGCCCACACGACCCAACCAATC